ATATATATATACACACACATACGTTTCTTGATTCTTATTTATTGTTTCTGAGTGGAGACGGCATCCAAAGCCCAACTAAGCCCCCTTCAAGTCATGCTTGGCTACTGCGGCAACCCGGAGCCTTCAAGCCTAATTCCTGCGTTCCAAATCAGGAACCCCAAATCCTGAACCCTAATCGACGACTTAACCCCAAATCCTCAGCCAAAGACTCCAAGTCCCGAGCCGAGTCCTTCACGCTAGAACAGGCCGTAAGACACCGGAAAACCCTTAAGGCACAGAAGTTCTTGTAAGCATCTGCAAAACAACCCATCAAGACACCCTACGCCCTACGCCCTCTAAACAGGAATTTGACCTAACGCACCAATGTAGTTGGGGACTTGATCGTTTTAATGGGTTTTGAAAGGTTTTCTGCTATCCTTATCACAGGAACCCATAAGGAGCGGTATTCGTAAGGGTTCAAGTAGGAACACACCGCGCGCCTCAGGTTCCTCGGGTGCGGGCCCGAAGGCTTCGAGAAAAGGGCAGGCCAGGGGATCCGAAATCAACCTGTGCGGATGTGGTCTTACCTGGGGATCCGAAAACGCTCTGCCCTTTAATTCAGGGGTCAGAGCCTACCGTCTCTTGTAGGGTTTGGGGTCACAGGTAGCGTTTGCATGGGGTCTAGAGGGTTTTTTGGGGTTTATAGGGTTTATTTTTTAGGTGTGCTGCTCCCTGTCGTCCACTACCGATGGTATGGGCTGCCCGTAAACAACATGAAAGGCCCGGGCGCGTGCAAGTGTCCCCTCAACCTTTTGGAGTCTTCACCCGACTCGGTCAACAGCCTTGACTCAGTTACACACAGCTAGTTCCACCCGAGGCACACTGTGCGACTGGAAACAAACACACCCCTTCGTATCCGGAACAGAAATTCAAGCCGACAGGGTCATGTGGGATGCGTCCTCCGGTTAACACTGGGTTGGATGCGATCCAAGCCGACTTCACACCTAGACTTATGCTCGGAAATTCGGAAAGCTGCCGTGGCAACTAGAAGAACGGCACCAAAACGGATTGTGCTTTAGCTAAAGGGCCCTCATCCCCAAACCGCGAAGGCCTCTCGAAAACAGTATGCTGCATGCTCGTCGTATTCTGAAGACTGCTGCATGCTCGTCGTATTCTGAAGACTAATGGCGGGACCATCATATGAAGGGCTACAGTACCCATCTGCAGGATAAGCGTCGGGGCACGCTCCTCTTGCTGAGCCTGCAGAGGCAAGCCGCGTTTCCGTACAGACATTCGAGATTCCGGCTTTCGCTCCTTCAGTTTTATTCAGGACAAGGCTTGTGGGCGTAGAGGCTTTTGAAGTCAAGGCTGCTGGGGTCTAAGGACTCGCCGACGGGCAGAACAAGGCAAGACACTGCAGGATTCCCCCGCAGACACTTTGAACGTTCGGCCCAAACAAATCCTAGCATCCATAAGGACGGCGTATATTATAGGCGAAGCCCTTTCTACCCTGCCCCAGATCCCCGGATCTGCTCGAAATCCGATCTTGTTTGCAGAAGGCCTGCATTACGACATGGCGGCTCTAGCCACTGTTAAGTTGACACGGCAACCCTGTCGCACGAGAGCATTGGACCCGAAAGCATGTGGAACTTGTGCGAAATACCCAAGATCAATCTCGGAACTTCAGGCACCTAGAGCTAGGGGTGTAAAAAAAACAGAACTCGAAACCAAGAACACAAACGAAACTGAATTCAAACCCGGCGAGACCTCTTTGCATCTTGCCGCGACAGGGAGCAGGATGCGTGCCAGGTGCCTAGGTGCATTTGAGGCTTGCAGGGCGGACAGTCCCTGCAATCATCGAAAAAACCGTTAGGGAGCCATATCCCAGTCCATGTTCCTAATGCAGTCGGTTTAGGGTTGAAGGGCTGAGGGCCTGGAGGTGAAGCTGAATCGACAAAGCCTCCGAACCAATCTGCAAAGCCTAAACGCCGAAACCCTAAACCCCTAAACCCTGAATAAATCAAACCCCAAACTCCAAACTCCTAGACTCTAAATAAATTAAACCCAAAACCCTAAACCCGTAATAACTTAAACCCCGAAGCTCGGAACCCCAAAACCCAAAAGTATACTTAGAGGCTTAGGCCCGGGCTCCGCCACCATGGACGCTTTGGCACGGCGGCAGGGAGGCGACCACGCGACCCTGAATGGATTAGGGGTTGAGGGTTTAGGGCTTGAAGGGCGCTATTGAGGCTCTGACCGCAGGGTGTTTTGACATGCGGCTTCATGGTGGTCTGGAACCGAGTCAGGGCCTCTTTGATAGTTTGATAGAACTTAAACGGGGCTTGGGCAATCTATACTCGGAGTTGAAGTTGAGAGTCCACAACGTTGGCGGGCCGGGCACTGTTGCTACCACGCCAGGGTGCAACAAGTTGTGGCGAGGCAACAATGACGCATCCCTTTGGAGCCCCAAGAGGTCCGTGGATCCCACAGGGTGCCCCCAAGGCTCTGAGACAGACACTTGATTCAACCGCTCTCACGATAGATCGGGCACCAACAGGTCCTCCGCCAAGGCGTCAAAGCGTGGCCGATCCATGAAATGTGAAAGAACTGCATACCACGTGGGACATGATGTACATCTTCCGGGGGGCAACAGATTTCTCGCTCGCTGGCTCATTCGTTTAGCTTGTAAGATCTTGTAAGAATCCAAAATCCAAAACTTCTCTCGTGGCAAAACAAGGTTCAGGGTCAGGGTCCCGGTCAGGAACGGAAGGCTGGGAGTCCAATGGGTTCAGGGCTTTCGGGACCCCCCAAAAAACCCAAAAATCTCCCACACAAAAACCCTAACTCCTCAATCCTCTGCTTCCGTTTTGGGATGGCAGCCCCGTTGCACCCAAGGCGATCCACCGCGTTTAAAAAGGGCTCAGGCCCGGCATGTCGTTCGGGACTGGGCTTGAGGTATACCTTAAACTACCAAACCCTGGTTTTTTTTGTAGGTTCCTATTATAAACCCTAATATGGAATTTATAGGGACCCTACAAAAAAGTAGGTTTTGGTAGGTTAAGGTAGGGTTTACCACCCGAAACCCGGCCCTCAACCCTATTAGGGTTTAGGCTTTGAAGTTTGAGGTGGGACTTCGTAACCTCCAAACGGACCTGGGAATGTTTAGAAAGTATGAGACCAAGGCCCAAAGACCATGTGGGTTCAAAATAACCCCTTATGAGCTAGGCAGCTAGGGTATGTGAACCTGAAAGATCAGCGAAGATTCTATGATCATTTTCGGGTCCCGCCTCTGTGCAGCAAGCATGCTCATCCGCCACATGGCTTGGAACAGACTTGTGAGGTTATATATGCGAATGGACACGAATGCCTCCCAAGTTAAGACGCGGAAGAGTGCGATCCTCTATGTCCTACACGCCCAACCTTGATACCCAACAAGCCTGAACCCTATAGTCCCAAAGCCCCGCCCTGCAAACCTAACATATTCTGCCCAAAGGACATTGAGGAGCTGGAATCGTTAAGCCCTAACCTAAACCTAAACCGTTACGGCCTCTAGGGCGTTTCGAATGGCGCTTGGGGGCCTTCGAAGGGTTGTTCTTGGACTACGAGTTCCGCATGCAGACGTTGGGAGTCACAGAGATACATAGATTTTTCCCTCTCATGGGATCAGGGTTTAGTGCTACTTGGTCTAGCTCGTCGGCGAAATACGTGAACTCAATCCGTGCGCTTTCTTGTTATCGGTTTTTTCGAGGATGCTAGAACCTACTCCTACTGCAGGATGGCTGAACACAAGGTCCCAAAAGCTGAAAGCCATCAGACTCGCTCTGACTCGAGGCCCTGTGCGCAAGCACCAGAGTTTCGAAGTGGAGAGTCGGAGCAATCCGCAATTTTCCAGTACCCTTGGATTGCAACCGTAGGATACCCTAACCGCCCAGGTACCTACTATATAGGGCCCTAGGGGCTCTAGTACCCTATATAGTAGGTACCTGGGGGGTTAGGGATACATACCTCCAACGGTTTGCCCCCGCATTTTCCACCGACGTGAAACATCATCTGATGCCTTTGGCAAGAAAAGAACCTTCTTGATTCTAGGCACGCCTCAAGACCCAGGCAGATGCTGGATGCATGAGCGCAGATCTTATTGTAACCCTTCTACCGCATAGATCCCCTTTTGTAGGAACCCTTATAGACCTTGCAGAGTAAACCTTGTAGAACCACCACAGTAAGCCTTATACAACTTGCATAGCCCTCAAAGACCAAGGAACCCGACGGCTGAGGCCCCTTTCGAACAGAGCTGTTCGATAGCTCACATGGTCACAATGAGGGCTGCCAGGACCTCAGTGCCATTTGACGGGTTGGTTAAATTGCTTGCGCCACTGCCACACAATTTCCAGCCTAGCGCTACACCTCCATCAGTCCACTGGAAGCTGTGCCCAAGCGCGAAGCTAGAAAACCCCGTTGCAAGTCCTGAATCTGAAGGGCCCCAAACCCTAAACCCTAAACAAAGGAACCCAGTTCGCACAAAAGAAAGCCCTTTGCTGCAGAAGAACTTTGGCAATACGGTGACGGTGACTCTCCAAGTCCTAACAAACATTTAGGGGACTGGCCGATAGCCACGCGAGCCCCGAGTAGTTCGGCAGAACGGTCGAGAAACCTCAGCACTCAAATAAAGTTGCAGGCTTTCTCATGCCACTTGCACGACCAGTAGTTCCTCCTTTTTGTTTGCCATGTCTCCCGCGTGGGGGGGATTTAGCACGCGGACACGGAAAGAAACTTGAACTTGTTCTCTTCACATGTGCAACGCACAGCTGCGTCGCTGGCGCGCGACGTGCTGGCGTTGAGTATGGCAGAGTTTGCCAAGGATGCTTTCGTGGACCATAGACCATCGATGCGGACTGGTTCAGCGATAACCTTCCCAGACATCTCCTCAACCTGGCACCACACAGACCCGATGTTCTGGTACGTTGACAGAAACTCAAGGAGAATCAGACCCAGCCTGAGCTTCACCACGAAAACAATCTCTTTAGGGCCCAGCCCGTCATACTGAGAGTAGTGGACCTTATGCCTAGGGACCTGCGCACGGCCAGGCAGGTCAGGCACGTCCATCTGATTGGCTTCAGGAACCCAGTTAGCAATCCAGCCAAACTTGCCCGGTCGATCTGCCCCAAAACGCCACTTGGAGGTATTGGCTACAATGCCGGGAAAGCTCATCTCACTGAAATGGGATAAGTAGGTGATGAGGCTCATCTTGCACCTGTCCTCAACGGAGAAGCTTTGGTCACTCTGCTGCAGCTTCAATTCTACTTCATTGGCTCGAGCTGCCTCCAGCGTGGCAGGGTAGCCATCGATGCAGGCCTGCCGCAGAATCTGAAGCAAGTTCATGTAAATCATTTGGGCTTGGATGAAGTGGACCCCACAGCCATAATGGTGCGATGACGCACCCTTGTAAGTAAAAAGGTAAGGTATGCCGCTCACACTGTCAGAGGGATGCCCGAGATGGGGCAGGGCACAGGCGATATCTGGATAACTTAGCATTGGGATTCTGAGGCTGCGCAGCACCGGGTAGAAGGGGTCGAATTCCTCAAAAGCGCCTGAATATGTGCATGCATCGAGCTTCTCCCATTGAACCTGCCCCATGGAGGCCATGACATTGGCAGTATAAGTTTCGATGAATAACAATGCAGGGGGGCGCTTCCAATTTCGCACATGCGCATGCATGACGAAAGCTTGATGTCTGTTGCTTTGCACATCCACACAAGTGACCGCGTAATCCGGGATGATCAGGTCCAATGTCTCATCCTTCTCGTAGCCTATCAGCACGCGGCTCCAAGCCTCTTTGAACGGCGTGGCTGCCACTGCCCCCTCTATGACTTCCAGCTGCAAGGGGCTGTTCTCCAGCTTGGATAGCTTTTCCAAAGCCGACGCCCAGTACATGTTACTTTTTTCCCTGCATCCCCTCCCGACTGTGTTTGAAGGGCCCATGGTGAGAACGCGCAGAGGTCTCCCGGCTTGCTTGGCCTCAAGCAAACGAATTTGCAGCCTCGCTAGGCTGGGATGATAGCTCCGGTCCCTGGATCGCCTCGCCACCTCTAGGAAAAGGGAGGCATTCCTGCTAATCTCAGAAGCATTGAAAAGCTCACAGGTCTCATCGTGCTGCTTCCATGCTGTGCACGCTGCATCCCATCCCCAGTGGAAGGCTGCGGAAAGCTCAGGGCAGTTCGGTATGTGTGCTTCATGTGCTGTTGCGGTCTCCGCTGGATTACTCGGGCTGGCCGGACCTCCGAGAGCAGCACCCTGATAAGCTTCTCCCGAAGCTGGGCTCACCCCCAAGGGGTTTATGGCTGCGGTGGCCACAGGACCAGGAGGACTCGGGCTGGCCGGACCTCCAGAAACTCCGAGAGCAGCAAAAGCTGGGCTCACCACCGAGGGGTTTATAGCTACAGTGGCTACAGGGCCACTCTCCGGGCTTTTCTTGAAGGAGCTTACCGTCCTCAAGAGATCACGCTGCGAAGACAACCATCGCATGTGCTGGCCATCCGATCCGAGCAGAGTGCCACCGAGCAGCAGACCGGCTGCAAACAATTTCCAGTGCATTGCTCCACAAGCTGTCTACAAACATGGGAAATGGGCTTCAGAACATCCACTGCGTAGAACGACAGTGACAGGTGCAAATAAAAGACTGCCTATAAACAAGTCTCCGGACAAACTTCATGAAGGAATCCTGCGAGCACGGTGCCAGCGGCACTTGTGTATGATGGCATGCTTTCAAAACATATGTGCCCTCTTAGGTCTTCGGCCGCGCACAACTCCCTGATCCTTCCAAGTTGGTACAACACAACAAGGCTCTTGACACAGCCTTCAAACCCGCAAGACCCTCTCAGCCTCCCGGCGTAACGAAGGTGCGGAGCGACGCTACCTCTCACAGGATGTGCAGGATGGGGATTTGAGGACTCGAGCGCAGGGAAGTTCACACAAGTAACCTTTTCTTGAAGGTCATGTCGGGATCCTATTGAGAATGAGTTCGAACCTCATGAAAATCATCTCCGGGTTGTACGCGATTGTGTGAAATCATTCTTTCGATGGTATACAGGGCAGTTCTGTGTTTTTGAAGCCATACACACTGGATTAACATAGAGGTAGCCAAAACCGAGGGGTCTCTTGTAACACTTTTATCCCAACCTGATACAGCTCCTCCAATCCAAAAGCGAAAAGAAGAGATCCGAAAGGTAGTTTACCAAAGAATGGGACCACAATATCGACCCCGAAATAATCAGAAAGGCACGCTGTGGGGCTCCGGTTTTTTCACACATAAGGCTTTGTATGTTTCTTGTAGTTTATGCTTGTGTATTTATAGTACCCCTAATGTTATGATGGTTCTCATACCTTCGTTCCAGGATGCAAGAAATGACATCTAGAAACGTAATGCATTGCGTGGTTAACTTACGTTCGTAGTCTATATGCTCTTAATTCATATGAGTGATGAGTGCTATAAGTTCGCTCATGGAAAGGAGCCGGTGGGGATGAGCCGCCGGGGGGGGGGGGGGGGGGGGGNNGGGGGGGGGGGGGGGGGAGGGTAAAACAAAACAAACGAAAATATGTATAAACAAGTTTGTTCTTTCTATGTGTTTTTTTTTGGGGGGACCCCCCCCCTCCCCCGCGCGACCTATCTCATGGGGCTCTCTTCCCCACGCAACGCAGACCCCCCATCCCTTCCTTTTTTTCACACGTCCTCCATCATTCGCAGTAAACGCTTCGATTTATTAAACATACTAATCGTTCCCGAGCTTCTGTTGACAGCTTAGCAACCACATTATTATAATTCTTTTCGGGCATGTAATTGTAACGTATGCAGTATTCATGATATTTGCACCTGTGCTGCTTTGCTTTGTGGCTTTACCCAAGGTATACTCATATCCAATTTACTTTCGCAAGTATTATAACCTGTAAACAATGTTCCCGCGCGTAACAAGCTCACACCCCGTCTGTATTATAAGAGGTGCGGTTGTGGTTGGTCCAGGTCGCTGCTGAAATTTCACACTTACGGCTGCTGCTATCGTCCTAGTCATGCAGTCATATAATGAAGAAAATGAAAGCACAATACTTCTGGTAACAAATCTGAAAATCACAGGTTCTCCACGGAAAATGAGCACATGAAATGAAAGAGTTTGAAGGTTCTTCCATACCACCCTCTCATCGGGTGTTCAATCTTCACCATATACGTCGAATACATGTAGACAGACAGAAATTTGTTCACGAAATAGTGAAACTGCTTTAGAAGCTCTCCGAATCAGCAAAGTTTAACCTGTGTGGACTCTGAGGATCCCATTGAGGGTATATTAGGTTTGCACGCATATGCTGCGGCTTTGCAAGACCATCTAATATCTCTACGAAGCAGTATTTCTGTTTCATTATTCGAGCTGAAGGGGTGCCTCATCC